GACAGCCTGTAGTCACTCCTGCTGTAGACAGGTAACTGTTGAGTCCATGGGACCTGCTGCTGCTCTTTCTTTCCAGTGTGCCCTTGTGAGCTGCTGGTAGCATTGCTACAGTGGTGGTGTATTTCTGCATACCCATTTTCTTTGAATAAACTCCTAGGCAAAGAATCACAAATTGTTTGCTAGGAGGTTTATATCCATATACCCAACCATGATTTGCATTAAAGTAACTCCTCAAAATCTGTGGTTTCTGTTACTGATGTGGAAAGGCCATCCTATCAGCAGACCAGAACACAGGAGTTTCTGGAAGGTATAAAGCATATGGCAACAGATTAATATAAAAACTAAGCTGAACTGAGGAGTTCTCAGCCAGTTAGGGCTGAAAACTCAAAAGGTAGGTATTCAGAGTAGACCCGAGGATGTGCAGGTCAGAGACCGCCAAGGCTGGCTGCCCTGTCCTGCTCCTTCGGGGAGGAACTGGCTATAGCGGGCAGGCAGGCAGCAGATCCTCACTTATAGCCTGGCTTCTGCCTCTCCTGCTTACCAGAACCCGTGCTTCTTCACCCACACACCAGAAACCCTGACTTGGCCTAAATACACCACAGCTACAGGTACACTTAATCTGGCTTACATCTAACATAGGAACACCAGGTGTCATCAGGCACCTGTGGAGCACTGCCAGCATGAAAAGCAGTCATAGAGCTAGCCAGGAATCAGCACATGAGAGGAAGGTCAACACTCGGGCGACACCTGTTCCAGCACAAGGACCAGCTTGAAAAGGTCCTAGAGAGTCGGGAGAGAAAGCATTGCCCTCTGAAATGAGAAGGCAGGTTCATTGAAAAGGAAATGCATTCAAGATGAACAATCAGTTTGTAGGAATTAAAGGTATTATATTAAGATACTCATTAAAGAGGCTGAAATTCAAGCCTACATATTTTACCTAATCCGAGGAAAAAGGAGTTCAGATTTCTTGAACAGCTAAGGGAAATTATATCACAGAGGGCCACTCTAAACATACTCCCTTGGTGTGATAGGGTTTCAGAAAGGGGATGGGCAGGCTGCCAGTTAAGTGGGAAAGGCAGCTTTGCACAGCTCTTTACACTAAGTGGTGATGAGGAGTGATTAAAAACACATCACAAGTCCTGGTGACATTTCAGAATCCAGGAACAGAGAACATTGTAAGAGCAACTCAGAGAAAAACAGATTCCCTTCATAAGAACCAAGGATCCAGTTGGCGTCTGATGTCAGTAACTCTGTAAGGTAGAAGACAGTGAAAATATATTTTTCAATGAAAGTTTTGAGCGAAAATGATGTTGAACCTGGTTTGTGTTCTTAGGCAATTCAGGGATGAGGGCAACAATATTTTGAGGCTAATGTTTAAAAGTATTCTTAGGATAGTAGCAAAATGGAAAATAGTTTGGAATGAAAGCCCAAAATTCAGCAGTGGTCAAAGTGGCCAGGTGGGGTCACTATATGATGAGCTGTAGCTGTTTAAAAATTTTCCTTCACTTACTAAGAAGTTTTGTGTGTTTTAGTCTTGCTTGGGCTCAGGAAGGTAAAGTACAGGTTTTAGTTAACTGTAGATATTAGTAGAAACATTAAAGAAAGTAGAGGTAATTGCCACTAAGACCAGAAATAAGATCTGTTTCCACTCAAAGCTTTATTTAGTGTAAAGAAACTGCTCCTCTCACCAGTACAGGAAAAGGAAAGGGTGAGGATTAAAAGTGAACCATTGCAGGGAGAACACAAGTGTCACAGCCGACCCTCATGCTATTCTCCCAGCTAAAGCAGTGATAAAAACTACCTCCAGGAAGGTGAGGTAACAAAATGCACGCAGAAGGAAGGATGGAGTGTCTTTAGAATTCAGGATACAGGAGCTACTTTGAGAAGGACTGCCTACTGGCCAGCTTTTAGTCCTGTGTAGGTGAGGTGAGTGGGCAGCCCATGTGCTGCCTGAGGAGACCAGGCTGAAAACCACTTGTTCCAAGACGTAAGATTGGAGCTCCGCCCTGACTGTCTCTCTTCAGGAGCAGTGGAGACCTGCACCCTGTGTGCCCCCTGCCATGCTGGTCCACAAGGACCTCTTTATGCTGTCACTGGCTCCATGTATTTGGTTCCTTGGGAATCATAACAGAAAATGTCACAGGTCTGAATCTAGCTAGAGTCTCTCCTGGCTGTAGTCCGTGTTCTCCAGAGACTGAGTCCCTGGCATATGTGCATGCCTACATTGTCCCATGTGGGGGTAGAGTGGGAGAAGGAACAGACACCCAGGGAATTGCTGATGTTGCCGTGCGTCAGAAGGCAGAATTGTGCCTTCCTACTGGGAGAGCATTTCCTAAGATTTCCAAATGAATGAACAAGCCCACCTATGATCTGCTGATTTACATGTTGTTTTTCTAGAAAAATAATTCCACAGGAAACATTTGAAGTAGTGATGGACCCAGTGCCTGAGTGCTGTGGCCCAGCCCAATTGACACATTAAATGAACTATCTCACCTGTGAAGATGCTGCATTTACTTATGACGGCGAATGACAGAAAAGTGCATAGGAGTGAATTCCTTCCTCAGTGGAGAAAGCCGGGTCCTGTAACCCAGAACAAATTACTAGCACTTTGCCTAAAGATGAGAATAACGAAGGTAATCAATTGCTGATTCCTGTACTCCAAGAGAAAGGTCCCCTTGGCCGGCCAAGGGCCAGGTGGATGTGGTGGCGCTCCCCGAGGATTATGAAAAGGCCTGAGGTCTACCTTCTTTTGAGTCTCAGTGTTAGTAGTTACCAGTTACAGACATGGTGGTGCCTTATAGCATTTGCTCTCACTGAGTTTTATATCACTGTGTGTGTTTGGTGACAGAGCAATTCCTTACCAGGAGCCATGTTGAATCTAGCTCTTTCTCCATTGAATGTAAAGCACTTCATTAAAAGAAATAGCCTTTTTTCCAGTGGGCTTCTCCTTCATGCACGTACGTACCTCAGATACTGCAGGTTCTTTTGCAGACCCCCACAGCAAAGTGAATACTGAAAAAAAGCTAGATGAATTTTTTGTTGGCCTGGAACCTCTGGAGTTACTCCACTGTCTGCTGGCATAGGCTCACAGTCATTTTCTGATTTTCCTCCCACACGTGGTGGGATGCCCACAAGATGTATTTTCCTCCAACTCCACCTGTGTTCCTAGCTCTGGCCTTTCTGGACCAGTTTTCCCAGCGTTTCTCTGTTATTTCTTCTACTTCAAGACATTCTTGGTTTGTTCTAGTGTTCGCTCTCTCTTGGCCTTAGTGCCAGTTAGGCGCTGCAGCTGATGGGGGGCCCTGCTGCCTCCTTACTGTCATCCTTTCCTGCACATTCCTCTGGTTTCTTCTTCGCATCTGGAAAGGTCTCAGTTGCTACTTGTTTCCCGCCCATCTGATTGTCTGCGTCATCTTGTGTCACCTCTGGGCTCTGGTGTGGGTAATGGGGTGGTTTCCGCCGCCCTTGTGGGTGTGAAGTGGGTCTGCTTGCCGTGGCCATCGGTGCATCCTGGGATTGCTGCTACATCCTCCAGTTGGGGCTGCACCCCGATCTCTCCTGGGAACCCCATATGTGAGGAGGGGTGAGATACTTCCCACGTGGCTCCTCTCATCCCCGTTCTGGGGGCATAGTTTAGCATGCAGCCCTGCATCTGTGGCGCACTTTGAGGTTGCCCCTGGGGGCAGCAGGGTCTGCACCTCACCTCTGACCCCGAGCCTGCACTACCCAGTGAGGGTTTTACTCAGCATCAGTGTGTCCTGGTGAAGTCCTCCGCCTTCCTGGAGGGCCATCTTGATGGTGTTCGCAGAGCCTTGAGGTCTGGGGCAGGATGCATTTCCTCCTCTCCCCACGGCCCTGCAGGGAACCTCATGCACCTCTTGTGATGTGATGGGGAAGCCTTCTCTCAGTTCTCCAGGTGGTGGTCCCATCTTATCTAAACCAAGAGCTGCATCAGCCAGTTCGAGGCCTCATTCAGACAGCCCTCATGGTTTGCTAAAACCTGTCTCTGTTTCACAAACATGAAGTTTACCAAACCGGTGTATTTAAAATATATACAACTGTAGTTTTAAATATTACTGTCTACAGTAAATTGTTTTTTAAAAAAGTTGGTGCCCTTGCCAGTTGCTCATCACTATTTGTTGTGCACCTGATGAGAGCTTTGTGCCTGTAGAGGTGTGCTCGGCCATGGGGGGCCTGTCAGCTCAGGATTTTCTCATCTGCAGCACACAGTCCAGCTGAAGCTGGTTCCTTAGCTGTGGATTTTATGGTGAAACAAAGTTTTTTTCCTGATTTCAAGATACATGTATATTATTTGTAAACATTGTATGTAGATTTTTTTCACTTGTTAATAATCCAGAAAGAATATTGTTTTGATGTTTGTTCCAACATTTTTTGATATTACATTAAGTATTTGTCATGTTTTTAAGTGTTTAAAGTTTTCTAGGGAAGTAATGATGGTATTGCGAATGGCTACAACCAAGTCTGGACTTGTTTCAGAAAAAGTTAAATGTCATTTATTTTTACTGTTTAAGCCAATGGGGGTAAAATTATGTGGACATTAGAAAGGGTGCAACTGAATAGTTACACATTTCTTTTTGACTAGAAATGGGTTCATAGTCTGTAAAGCCATATGCATATGTGATTATTTCATTTGGTTAGCCCTTCTCTGTCTTTGACTTGGATAATTGTGAGTTGATTGAATTAAAGGAAATCCAGGAAGCTGAAAAACTGATGCTTAGTATTAGGAAGTGTGCTGCTACTGACCAGGGGTGTTCCTGCTGTCCCTAGAGGGCTGCACAGGCCCCACCTGTGAGCCCACTGCATGGCTGTGTGACTGGGAGATGGCCACCTGCTGTCACTGGGACCCAGGGCATGGCAGCATTTGTAGCAGGGCCCGGGTTGAGCTGTAGTGAGAGCGTGCTGGCTGACAGGTTGGGTCGGGTCTAGGAGTGTTTACTTTTGACCTTTGATACCTTACATGTGTGTATGTGTGAATACAGAAAGCATCGGAGCAGTGTTGGGCCAAGCAAACCTGTTTCCCAGCCCCGGCGGAATATCGTAGGCTGCAGGATTCAGCATGGGTGGAAGGAAGGGAGTGGCCCTGTCACCCAGTGGAAAGGAACCGTTCTGGACCAGGTGCCTGTAAATCCTTCTTTGTATCTTATAAAATACGATGGATTTGACTGTTTATGGACTAGAACTTAATAAAGATGAAAGAGTTTCTGCGCTTGAAGTCCTCCCTGATAGAGTTGGTAAGTTCTGTTTACTATTTGTACTATATGCTTTAAAAGTGATTATTGACATAGGTGCTTTTTTATTATTATTTTGCACTATTGGCATTTTAATTTTTGTTGGAGTTCTTACACTCCTGATACTTATTTAAATCAGTCACCTAAAACCACTGTTAGGGAACTGAGGGATATAAAGATGTGTGAAATTGTTGCCGAAGAATTTTACACTGATGGTTTCTAACGTGATTATTTCCCCATGTTTCACTCACTATTTATCTAGACTTTGATAGGTAAGAGTATTTCTTGCTAGCTCAAATATCCTTTGTTTATTTAATACAAAGGATAATAAATATCCTTAGCTGTTTATATAACAGCTAAGAAAAATCTTACGCATTTATTAAATTCGTTATGAGAACTGTAGCTTTCATTGTATATTATTACATAAGCGGTAGTTGTGCTTTCAGTGAAAATTTAAGCAACCAAAATGTGAGTTTTATTAGGCATGTGCTATCCTTAGGATTTGTTTATACAGTGTTTGTAGAAATGAATCTCTTTTTTCTTAAATGTCATAAGAATCATTTATGTCTTGTGTAACTTAAGCTCCTCAAGGCATAAGGTGTCAGTTAATGACATTTATTTTTAAGAATAAAATAAAAATGCTTTATTTATAAGATAAGTAGGATACACCCAAATTAATGCTGCCCCCTTCAGATGTTCACTTTGAAGTGTTGTTTTATTACAGTGTGCTCTGGCATGGACATTGGCTCATGCTTCAGCAGTGTCTGGAAAAGCCTTAACCAGCATGGCCTTGGCAGACCTGGGCTTGGCGGTTGGACATTTGGGGTCAAATTGTGCAGGGAGGAGCCAGCCCAGTGCCCTCACCCTGTCTTTGCCTCATCTTCTTGGGACACACGTCTCCCCAGCAAGTTAATTCTCTGCCAGAGCAGCAAGTCTTTTAATCTTCCTAGATAGCAAATGCTGAGTCTCTGTCTTTACAGAACTCTTTCTCTAAATTTAAATATGTATTATTATTCCCAAACATGACTAATTGTGTAGTAATAAATCTTTAGCATATTCAACGTTTTTATCCATCCTGAGTGTGACTGAACATGGCGTTCTTCTCATGAGGCACACCCACCACCCCCTTGGTCTTGACACCAGTCCACTTCCCACATAACAGACTAACACTGGGGAGTCTTATTTAGGGCTTAACAGCTACTGTCCAAACTTCTGTATCAATTTTTCGTACTAAGTAATTATCATGCATCCTTTTGTTGATGCAGAATTTTAGTCTCCACCCCTCCTAGGGCAAGACAGCTGGTAGCTCATTTGAAATAAACTGCACTTGCCACATGACCACTGCTGTATGTTAGTTCTCTTGTCATCACAAGGACAGAGAAATATTTTTATCTTGACAAAAAAGTGATTGACAAACCAAAATGCCCAAAGAATGAGTTGCTCTGGTGATGGGATTAAGGGTTACTTGATGTTTTTCTTCCCAGTACTGGTTATCTGTTCTAGTAGTAGACATGGGTTGCTTTTGTAAAGGCCTCTATGCAAAGCAGCAGCACAGCACATGGCTAATTTAATTAATAGTTAATTACAGTATTGTCTATGATACTTTAGTCAGAAAATATTTAGCCTTCATTTATGTTCCCTGTGAGAAGAAAACCATCTCCTAATTTGCTTCTGGCAGGACATTAGGCTATAGTTACAATTTTGTTGTTCTTTTTTTTTCTACAAAGTCAGTGTGATGACACAGGTGGTCCCAGAGAGTGGCCTGGGACCCCCGAGTTCACCATAATACTAACATGCTGGAGTTTCCCACTGTTTGTAAGATGTGTATAGCTCAGCAAACACAGTAGTTTTTATATGAACAATGCTCGATGTTACCACGTCATGTATTGGTAAAAGATCCATTCAGAGATGAACAGGTCGTGTTGTGAAAAACACGTATACATGAAATTTACTCCTTTAACCATTTCTGATCATTCAGGTCAGGAGTGTTAAGGACATCCACATGGCTGTGAAGCAGACCTGCAGAACTTCATGCAAATCTGTAACACTGTCACCATTAAATAGCAACCCCCACCCCCCACCCCTAGACCAGGCACTGCCATTGTACTGTCTGTCTCCATGAATTTGATTACTTTAAGGACCTTATAAGTGGAGTCTGCTTTCATGACTAGCTTCTTTTAGCATAATGTCCTCAAGGTTCACTCATTCTGTGACATGTGATAGAATTTTCTTTTTATGGCTGGGTAACATTCCATTGCCTGTATAGAGCACATTGTGCTTGCCTACTCATGTGTAGATGGATGGACACTTGGGTGGCTTCTTCCTTGTGACTGTGAGTAGGGCTGCTAATGAGTGTAGGTATATACCCAGAAGCACAGTGACCCACTCCTCTGCTAGACCTTATGGTGTCTGTGCTGAATTTTATGAGGGACCTACCTAATGTTTTCTGTAGTGTTTTTTTTTTTTTTACTATCCCACCAGCAGTGCACAAGGGCTCCAATTTCTGCACATCCTCACCAATGCTTGCTATTGTCTCTTGGTTTTCATCTGCATTTCTTTGATAATGAGTGATGTCAACACTTTTTCATATGCTTTTTGGCCATTTGTATGTCATCTATTCAAAGAAACATCTATTCAAGTCCTTTGCCCATTTTCTGATCGGGTTATTTTATTTATTTATTTTTTGAGTTGTAGGATTCTTTATATGTTCTGGAGCTAAACAAATAAGTTTTAATTTAACAGTGTGGCAAGTTTATTGATAGTGATTTCAGGTTCTACACTGTAATTGACCTTGAGGATCTACCACTTGAGTTTAGATGTAGTACAAAAGAATATCTAGAATTACCTGAAAAGACTAATAGAACAGTCTTCAACAACATATCTTTGGGAGGCTAGATTTTACACAGCCAGAAGAACATACAACTGATAAGAGAATCTAGTTGTCCTTTTTAAAACCTAGACATTGAGATTTACAAAAATATAAAATTGTGTCACTCTTTTACAATTTTTTTTTGTTAGGAATAGTTACTTTTCATTAAAAGTATGCTTCCTATGTGGGTATTTTAAAATACTTTTAGATGTTTCGTTTATAATTTATGAAGTGGTAGGTTTATGAAGAAACTGTTGTGATTTTGTTTTCTTGTCCTGCACAGTGGGAATTAATTCTATGTAAGTTTTGATAGTTATTGCATACTTAAAGAAGACCACGAGTGTCCTGATAAAGGTGGATAGCAGTCTCTTTACTAAGAAATTCTCATGTTTGTTCCTTTAGATTTTATTTAAAAAAGAAGCACTCATGAGTGAGATAGGGATGCTAGATTTTTTTTTAAGGACATTTGTCTATAAAAAATGTGAGAACCAGAGAAAATCAGTAGGGTCCTCTGTAATTTTCTCAATAGTGAAAAAAAGAAATGACACTGGTCATTGCATATGGAGCAGGGCTGTGGGGGGCTCTTGAAACCCAGTGGGGAGGCCAGGCTCCTCACCATACAGCCATCTACAGTGGCCCACTCCTCAGAACAAGTTAATTTGTACAACAAATAATCAGTGATCTTGGTTTTGGAAACAAGACAGAGAAGACCTCTGCTAAATGCAGGTCAACACACAAAGCGAGATCCCAGACAAGGACAACGTCTTTAGGAAGTAGAACTGGGCAGGTGACTGCGAAGGTTCCTTTTGCGGGCCTGTCCTGACAGCCTCCAGGGTGGGCCGAGGGCTACTGCAGGGCCCTAGGGCCACCGTCTGCGGGCCTTGGCAGTTTGCCCCTCAGGTGTGAGGGAAGGCGCTGGAGCTTTAAGCAGGAGGAGGGCATGGTTCGTGGTGGGGGGGCAGACAGGGCTGGAGCATGAGGGGCACATGCCTCCACCAGGCTGAGTGTCCTGTTCAGTGCCTGCCTTGTGGTTGTAGTGGCTGGGAACAAGGAGGGCCTGCAGGCATGCTCCTGGATATTCTGATTTTCACAAAGTTTAAAACCAGCCACTTAAACAGTAATAAAAACACCGTATACTTAAAGAACTGAAAACTCTAATTTAGTTCAGAAAAAGAAAAGGGAGAAAAGCAGATTCTCTCAATAATTGACTTGGTACAAAACTGTCCCTATGAAATCAAATCTGGCAGATCTGGTCTCGGTCCCTGGGTGTCTGTGGGCTTGACCATCCATGTGAAGGCCACTGGGTGGTTCTGATGCTGGTGAACCGTGTGGACAGCTCTTTAGGTTGCCGCTTTGAATAAGCTGTTTTCATAGTGCATGCATGTTGAACAAGACACTTTGTAAATAATTGTTTGCTTTCTTGAACCCAGCAACTTCCCGAATCAGCGACGCACACTTAGCTGACACGATGATTGGCAAGGCGGTGGAGCACATGTTTGAGACCGAGGATGGCTCCAAGGACGAGTGGAGGGGAATGGTCCTAGCACGCGCCCCTATAATGAACACATGGTTTTACATTACCTATGAAAAAGATCCTGTTTTGTACATGTACCAGCTCTTAGATGATTATAAAGAAGGTGACCTGCGCATTATGCCTGATTCTAGTAAGTATAGATTGACAGCAATTATTTTTGATAATTCAAAAGGGATTTGAATTTTAGAACAAGATACTTGGTTAACTTTTGAAGATACTTTTTTATTTTAAATTATTAGGGATATGTGATTATTCTTTTAGTTACGTGCCAACCATAGGATGTCGAATTTTTCACCCTTTTGCCAAGAATAATTTACTTTCTGTGTGGATGTCTCTGTTCTGGACTTCAGACTTTCATATCAATGGAGTATATAACACAGGGTCCACTGTAACTAGCTTTTCCAGCCAGCATCATGTTTCCAAAGCTCATTTGTGCTGCAGCACACGTCAGAACTTCATTTCTTGTAGTGGCCAAATAAAACTTCATTGTATGGCTAGACCGTATAATGCTTATTCATTCATCTGTGAATGGACATTTGCAATGTTCTCTGCCTTTTGGATATTGTGAAAGATGCTGCTATAAACATTTGTGTACATGTTCCTGAGTGGACATTTATTTTCAGTTCTCTTGGGTATACACCTAGGAGTGGAATTGGGGGGCATAGTGGTCACTATATGTGGACTTGTTTAGGGAACTGCCAGACCAATTTTCAGAGCAGTGTACCCTTTCGTTGTACAATCTAACCAGCTGTGTGTGAGGGCTCTGATTTCTCCACATACTATCAACACTTAACTGTTGTCCAACGTCTTTTTTTTTTTATTTCTTATTATTAATCTACAGTTACATGAGCAACTATCATTAAGTCCCCACCATATACCCCATAAACAGTAACTGTCCATCAGCATAGTAAGATGCTATACAATCACTACTTGTCTTCTCTGTGTTACATTGCCTTCGCCGTGCCCCCCACCCCCTACATTATGTGTGCCCCCTTTTCCCCCTTGTCTGTCCCTTCCCACCCATCCTCCCTGGTCCCTTTCCCTTTAGTAACTGTTAGTCCATTCTTGGGTTTCTGTGAGTCTGCTGCTATTTTGTTCCTTCAGTTTTTTTCTTTGTTCTTGTACTCCACAGATGAGTGAAATCATTTGATACTTCTTATTGGCTTATTTCACTGAGCATAATACCCTCTAGCTCCATCCATGTTGTTGCAAATGGTAGGATTTGTTTTCTTCGTATGGCTGAGTAATATTCCACTGTGTGTATGTACCACGACTTCTTTATCCATTCATCTACTGATGGACACTTAGGTTGCTTCCATGTCTTGGCTATTGTAAATAATGCTGTGATAAACATAGGGGTGCATATGTCATTTTCAAACTGGGCTCCTGCATTCTTAGGGTAAATTCCTAGAGTGGAATTCCTGGGTCAAAAGGTATTTCTATTTTTAGTTTTTTGAGGAACCTCTATACTGCTTTCCACAATGGTTGAACCAATTTACATTCCCACCAGCAGTGTAGGAGGGTTCCTCTTTCTCCACATCCTTGCCAACATTTGTTGTTTGTCTTTTGTATGGTGGCCATCCTAAAGTGTGAGGTGATATCTCATTGTGGTTTTAATTTGCATTTCTCTGATGATTTGCGATGTGGAGCATCTTTCCATGTGCCTGTTGGTCATCTGAATTTCTTCTTTGGAGAACTGTCTGTTCATATCCTCTGCCCATTTTTTAATTGGATTATTTGCTTTTTGTTTGTTGAGTGTGTGAACTCTTTATATATTTTGGATGTCAACCCTTTATCGCATATGTCATTCATGAATATATTCTCCCATACTGTAGGATGTATTTTTGTTCTGTTGATGGTGTCCTTTGCTGTACAGAAGCTTTTCAGCTTGATATAGTCCTACTTGTTCATTTTTGCTTTTGTTTCCCTTGCCCCGGGGGGATATCTTCATGAAGAAGTTGCTCATGTTTATGTCCAAGAGATTTTTCCTTATGTGTTTTTCTAAGAGTTTTATGGTTTCATGACTTACATTCAGGTCTTTGATCCATTTCAAATTTACTTTTGTGTATGGGGTTAGACAGTGATCCAGTTTCATTCTCTTACATGAAGCTGTCCAGTTTTGCCAACACCAGCTGTTGAAGAGGCTGTCATTTCCCCATTGTATGTACATGGCTCCTTTATCATATATTAATTCACCATATATGTTTGGGTTAATATGTAGATTCTGTTCTGTTACACTGGTCTGTGGGTCTCTTCTTGTGCCAGTACCAAATTGTCTTGATTATTGGGGCTTTGTAGTAGAGCTTGAAGTTGGGAAGCAAGATTCCCCCAGCTTTATTCTTTGTTCTCAGGATAGCTATGGCTATTCGGGGTCTTTTGTGGTTCCATTTGAATTTTAGAATGATTTACTCTAGTTCGTTGAAGAATGCTGTTGGTGTTTTGATAGGGATTGCATTGAATCTGTAGATGGCTTTAGGCAAGATGGCCATTTTGACAATATTAATTCTTCCTAGCCAAGAGCATGGATGAGTTTCCATTTGTTAGTGTCCTCTTTAATTTCTCTTAAGAGTGTATTGTAGTTTTCAGGGTATAGGTCTTTCACTTCCTTGGTTAGGTTTAATCCTATGTATTTTATTCTTTTTGGTGCGATTGTGAATGGAATTGTTTTCCTGGTTTCTCTCTCTGCTAGCTCACCTTTAGTATATAGAAAAACAACAGATTTCTGCATATTAATTTTGTGTCCTGCAACTTTGCTGAATTCAGATAGTAGTTCTAGTAGTTTTGGAGTGGAGTCTTTAGGGTTTTTTATGTACAATATCATGTCATCTGCAAATAGTGACAGTTTGACTTATTCTTTACCAATCTGAATGCCTTGTATTTCTTTGTTTTTTTGTCTGATTGCCGTGGCTAGGACCTCCGGTACTATGTTGAATAACAGTGGGGAGAGTGGGCATCCCTGTCTTGTTCCTGATCTTAGGTGAAAAGCTTTCAGCTTCTTGCTGTTAAGTATGATGTTGGCTGTGCATTTGTCATATATGGTCTTTCTTATGTTGAGGTATTTGCCCTCTATCCCCTTTTTGTTGAGAGTTTTTGTCATGAATGGATGTTGAATTTTGTCGAATGCTTTTTCAGCATCTATGGAGATCATCATGTGGTTTTTGTCCTTTTTGAAGATGTGGTGGATGATGATGGATTTTCGAATGTTGTACCATCCTTGCATCCCTGAGATGAATCCCACTTGATCATGGTGTATGATCCTCTTGATGTATTTTTGAATTTGGTTTGCTAATATTTTGTTAAGTATTTTTGCATCTGTGTTCATCAGGGATATTGGTCTGTAATTTTCTTTTTTTGGTCAGGTCTTTGCCTGGTTTTGGTATTAGAGTGATGCTGGCTTCATAGAATGAGTCTGGAAGTATTCCCTCTTCTATTTTTTGGAAAACTTTAAGAAGAATGGGTATTATGTCTTCTCTGTATGTCCGATAAAAATCAGTGGTGAATCCATCTGGCCCGGGATTTTGTTCTTGGGTAGTTTTTTGATTACTGCTTCAATTTCATTGCTGGTAATTGGTCTGTTTAGATTTTCTGTTTCATCCTAGGTTAGTCTTGGAAGGTTGTATTTTTCTAGGAAGTTGTCCATTTCTTCTAGGTTTTCCAGCTTGTTAACATATAGATTCTCAGTATTCTGTAATAATTCTTTGTATTTCTGTGGGGTGTGTCGTGATTTTTCCTTTCTCATTTCTGATTCTGTTTATGTGTGTAGATTCTCTTTTTCTCTTAATAAGTCTGGGTAGGGGTTTATCTATTTTTTTTTTTCTCAAAGAACCAGCTCTTGGTTTCATTGATTTTTTTTTTCTATTGTTTTATTCTTTTCAATTTTATTTCTTCTCTGATCTTTATTATGTCCCTCCTTCTGCTGACTTTGGGCCTCATTTGTTCTTTTTCCAGTTTGAGTAATTCTGAATTTAGACTATTCATTTGGGATTGTTCTTCGTTCTTAAACTAGACCTGGATTGCTATATACTTTCCTCTTAGAACTGCCTTCCCTGCATCCCGTAGAAGTTGGGGCTTTGTGCTGTTGTTGTCATTTGTCTCCATATATTGCTTGATCTCTGTTTTAATTTGATCATTGATCTATTGATTATTTAGGAGCATGTTGTTAAGCTTCCATGTGTCTGTGAGTCTTTTTGTTTTCTTTGTACAGTTTATTTCTAGTTTTATACCTTTGTGATCTGAGAAATTGTTTGGTAGACTTTCAGTCTTTTTAAATTTACTGAGGTTCTTTTTGTGGCCTAGTATGTGGTCTATTCTGCAGCCTTCTTAAATGAATGCATTGCATTCTGTTTCCTCCTTTAATTCTGTTAGTATTTGTTTCACATATGTCGGTCCTCCTGTGTTGGGTGCATAGATATTTATTATGGTCATATCCTCTTGTTGGACTGACCCCTTTATCATTATGTAATGATGTCCTTCTTTATCTCTTGTTAATTTCTTTGCTTTGAAGTCTATTTTGTCTGATACTAGTACTGCAACACCTGCTTTTTGCTCCCTGTTGTTTCCATGAAGTATGTTTTTCCATCCCTTCACTTTTAGTCTGTGTATGTCTTTGGGTTTGAGGTGAGTCTTTTGTAAGCAGCATATAGATGGGTCTTGCTTTTTTATCCATTCTTTTACTCTGTGTCTTTTGATTGGTGCATTCAGTCCATTTACATTTAGGGTGATTATCAATAGATATGTCCTTATTGCCATTGCAGGCTTTGGATTCATGGTTACCAGAGGTTCAAGGGTAGCTTCTTTACTATCTAACTGTTTAACTTAACTCTCTTATTAAGCTATTGTAAACACAGTGTGATGATTCTTTATTTCTCTCCCTTCTTATTCTTCATCCTCCATTCTTTATATGTTAGGTGTTTTATTCTGTGCTCTTTTGCATTTCCTGTGACTGCTTTTGTGGATAGTGGATTTTATTTTTTAGTTGGTATTTGGTTGGTCTGCTTTCTTTGCTGTGATTTTATTTTCTCTGGTGACATCTGTTTAGCCTTAGAAGTGCTTCCATCTAGAGCAGTCCCTTTAAAATATTCTGTAGAGGTAGTTTGTGGGAAACAAATACCCTCAGCTTTTGCTTGTATGGAAATTGTTTAATCTGTCCTTCAAATTTAAATGATAATCTTGCTGGATACAGTATTCTTCATTCAAGGCCCTTCCATTTCATTGAATTAAAATATATCATGCCGTTTTCTTCTGGCCTGTAAGGTTTCTGTTGAGAAGTCTGATGAGAGTCTGATGGGTTTTCCTTTGTAGGTCATCCTTTTTCTCTCTCTGGCTGCCTTTACTACCCTGTCTTTGTCTTTGATTTTTTGCCATTTTAATTATTGTATGTTTTGGTATTGTGACTTCTTGATTCTAGCCATCCTTGTGGTTGTGAAATGACATTTCACTCTGTGGTTTTGGTTTGGTTTTTTCCCTGGTGACTAAGATGTTGAGTATTGTTGCATGTGTTCTTGGCCATGTGTACATCTTTGGATAAGTGTCTATTTTTTGAGGAAAAGAGTCCTTTCCCCATTTTTCAATTGGGTTGTCTCTTGAGTTGTATGAGTCAATATTCTAGGTACAAGTCTCTTGTCGGGTACATGATTTGCAGATACATTACTTCATTCTATGGATTGTCTTTTCACTTTCTTGATGGTGTGCTTTGAAGCACAAAAGTTTTTAATGTTGCTGAAGTCCCATTTATCTTTTTTCTTTCATTGGTGTTGTATCTAAGAATCCTTTGCCGAGTCCTTTGCCAAATCCAAGATTAGGAAGATTTACCCTTACATTTTCTTCTAAGAGTCTTCACTATATTTGCTCTTACATGTAGGGTTTTAACTTTTATTTAGATCTAATACATTTTGAGTTAACTGTATGATGTGGTGTGAGGGCCCACCATATTACTTTTGCACTTTGTTTGAAAAGAGTACTTTCATTGAGTGTTTTTGGCATTCTTGTTGAAAGCCGGCTGATTCCAGGTGTGCAGGTGTATTTCTGCACTGTCAGTTCTGTTGTGTTTGGCCATATGTCTGTGGCTTTGCCAGGGCCACGCCTGATTGATTACACCTCGTTGTGGTAAGTTGTGAAATTAGGATGTGCGACCCCTCCTAATTTGTTCTTTTTCAGAATTGTTGTGGCTGTCCTGGGTTCCTTGCAGCTCCATATGAAATTTGGGATGTTATCACTTCCCTCCAAGAGGCCAGCTGGGATTCTGTGCTGAATCTCCCCATCATTTTGGGGGGTACTGCCATCCTGACATTTTAAGCCTTGTGACCCATGAGCATGGGATGTTTTTTCATTTGTTAAGATATTTTTTTATTACCGTCAACAGTGTCTTGTAGTTTTCAGTGTATAAATTTTGTACTTCTTAAGCTTATTCCAAAGTATTTTATTCTTTTACATGATATTGTAAAGTGGAATTATTTTCTTAATTTCATTTTTGGGTAAGCCTCTTCCTTTTTAAACTACTCTACAGCCTTTCCTCAAACACTTGATCCCTTGTCCTGGACAGATGTTGCTGACAGTGTGTTAGCAATGTGGCATCAATTCCTGAGTGTTTTTAGTACTTCCTGTGAACAGGCCAGTCAGTGAACCTACTCTTGTGCTCATTTGTCTCTGGCTCTCTACCTTCTTCAATGGTTTTTTGTTTTGTTTGTGCGCATGTGTTACAATTGTGTAATACAAAGCATTTATGCAGGCAGGAATCTAATTATCATGACAGCATTCCTTAAAAGCATTTCTCCAACCTGTATGAAGTGGATTTTTAAATTTTTGTAGAGAAATATCCAGGCGAGGTCAGTCACATTGACTTGGTAAGAGAGTGTGAGACCATTTGCACCCTCATTGCCTTCCCAACCACACTTGTATCCTTTCCTTCCTGTCTTTCTCCAAATTGCAAGCATTTTTGCAACTGGTGTGGAAGTGTATTTGCCACTATACTTTATAAAGAGTGGTGATGCTCTGATACAAAGCTCTACCACGGCCTGTGTTTGAGTCCTTCTCTGCCATGGTTACTGTGAAACGTGTGGCGGTCCTGTGTTGGGGATTCCTTTGTGAATGGAAGTGCCAGGAAGGTGTGGCATTATGTGCTGCTGCCTGACAGAAGAGCATATCTAGGAAAAGAGTTCAGCTTAGGTTTTCCCTTCACTTCTTTGTTAAACAGAACTGGTAACACTTGTGCATAGGCGTTTTACTGTTTGTGTTGAGTGTGGACTGTTAGTCTCAGAGATCAGAGTAGCAGGTTTGGGGTGTGTCATTCAGTGAGAGGATTTATTGTAATACATGACCTGGTCCAGCCCAGGGTATATGTGAGAATGAGAAGGTGCACTGCCAGCTGCTGCCCCAGCACTGCTGGCCCAGCAGGGCCTGGGCAGAGCAGAATGGTAGTCGCCCTGCTCTCCTGTATGGGAAGGAGCCTGGCTTACTCAGGAGCCACAAGGGGTTTCTGACATTCATCTCCATGTTGTCTCTTTTGCTTTATCTCTTTGCTGTTGGTGGTGGTGGTTTGCTCCCCATAATATGTGTATTCCTGTATTTTACAAAATTCTTGCCAGGTTGTAGAGCAGTGTTTTCCTTCCCAAAAGTCAGATTTTCCTGAGGGTCATATAAAAAGTACAGGTGCCTTGGCCATCCTTGGAGATTCCATCATAATTGGCCTGGGATGAAGTTCACTTAGCACCTATTTTTAAAGTACAGAAAATCTTTTATGTTGAAACTGAGTTAGGAAGATGGTGTGTAATGCAATGAAATCGAGGAGAAAACTTCAAGGGTTCACAGGATATGACAAGGAATACGTAGGCGTTTTAAGTGTGTAGCACAGTTAGTCATCCCAGTAGGTACTGACTGCTTTGAAATCCTATTTCAGAGTGACCCAAACTATTTTTAAGAAGTTACATAGTTATTTAGATTTTTTTCTTGGCCATCTTCTTCTTTTACTGCTTACCCTAAGGCAGGTACAGCTAGAGTTAAACCAAAGGAATTTCTAGTTATGATTTTCAGAATCATTTGCACACATCTGTATCTTGGGGGTTGGCACAGTGTTTATAAATACAGTGTCACTGGCACACAGCCACACTGTTCACTGACAGCTGTAGCTACTCTTCATGAGACAGCAGCAGAGCTGTGGAGTTGGAACAGAGATCATGTAACCTCAGGCCTAACATTTATTGTGTGGTTCTTGAAGAAAAGTTGCTGACTCTTGGTCTAGGAACCAAGATGAATTCAGATAGTAAAAAAAACCTGTTTTTAATTACTTTAAAAATAGACATGTGAGTTGGTGTGTATCTAAAAATTGACTTTAAATTCTCTTTTCCCCTTTAACTGCAGATGATTCACCTCCAGCAGAAAGGGAACCAGGAGAAGTTGTGGACAGCCTGGTAGGCAAACAAGTGGAATATGCCAAAGAAGATGGCTCTAAAAGGACTGGCATGGTCATTCATCAAGTAGAAGCCAAACCGTCTGTCTATTTCATCAAGTTTGATGATGATTTCCATATTTATGTCTACGATTTGATGAAAACATCCTAGATGTCATCACAAACTTTGCCAAATTTGTGGAACTATTAAATGTATAATTTGTAGACATAAAGACTTGATTGCTTTCCAGTTTAATGAAAGCTTAAATGTCCCTGCGAACCCACAATCTCTGCCAGAAGAACTGGTTTTGTTCTAAATAGTACAGGTTTTTATGTGAACACAAAGCATTTTATGTAAGGAGCCCCTTCCTCTTAAGTCTGTTTAGAAGGGATTTACTGGCAGGTTTGGTAAAAGTTAAGCTTGTATCATAGTCATTGAAGGCTGTGCCAGACCTTGCTTACCCAGTTCCCTTCACCCTTAATGTGCTCTCATTCTGCTGACACATGCAAGCATAGTTTGGTATTTTTGTTATTGCCTTTTTTGACATATATATATATATGTATGTATCTATTCCTACCTATCTATATCTGTGTATACATATATAATATATATATACACACAGATCTGTGCACATGCACACACACACACACACACACACACTCTCTCTCTCTTCTCTCACTCTCTCTTCATTGGCAGTCCTTTCTTTGTGGATTGGGATGGGGGTTAAAAAAAACTTTCTCCAGTTTAACAGGAATCTCTCACTCTCTCTTCATTGGCAGTCCTTTCTTTGTGGATTGGGATGGGGGTTAAAAAAAACTTTCTCCAGTTTAACAGGAGTGCTTGACTCAAAGTCAGTCCTATCTAGTATATTACTGCTGTTTGTTTAAAATTCAATTTGGCACAAGAAGCATGTAGGGGCATTCAGCTTGTGAAAATCAGAATTTCAGACACCTTTTCAGTCTGGAGTCTTTATAAGTCCAAACATGAATTAGTTGTGAATACAATGTTCATAATTTCATTATGAAATTTAGTGATGTACATTGGAATTTTACAAAACAGAAATCTGGGTAAAAGGCTGCCTTTAATTCTAAACTTTGTAAATTGTTTTGTTCACATTTTTTTTATTATCAGTACTTTTTGTTTTTGAACAAAGCCCAGGCACTTGGTCCACAGAGTGTAATGCAGATGTATTTTGGATGGCATATTTGGTCCATTATTTGTGCAAATCAGTAATCTGGATTTTTATACATGGATTTAAAAGGCAACAGTATATCAGCTGTTTGTATATGGTAAGTTTCTGGAAGAACGTAGTGGTTTTATATGAGAAATAACAAGTTTAAGAATGGTGGTGTTGCCGTCTAAAGTTATCTGGGACACTCTTATTTTTATTACTGCTGATACTGGTACATGATTATCGTCAGAAGACTTTTCCCCACAAAGAGTGTCTAGACAAATTCCCAGCTTCAATCTCCTGACACCAGTGTGGCATTGTATGTTCTTACCCCTGGTGTGCTGTGCGCATGGGTTTTTTGCATTCAGTGAACCCTGCCACATTTGGTCCAGGCGCCTTGTGGGTGTAATTATGTCAGTAGCCCTTACCCACTTCATCCTTTTGTGGCTTATTCCTGTAACTGTTTTAACCAAAACAACTGCATAAGTGGTTGTATACTGGCAGAATGACCGTCTATCACTTTGATTTGGGTGATCCCTGGCAATTTGAAAGCTAGGATCAAGGCAGTCTGTGAATCCAATCTGAGCAGAAGGCTAGACACATGCTGTCAACATCTGAAACTGGAGCGACCTCCATCAGGGCCCTTCTTGATGTTAGAGATTCCGTGGTTTCCCAGCCTCTCTGCACGGTTCACAGGGTGCCTGTTGGCATCCAGGAAGGCGTGCCTCATGCTGTGGAGTAGCAGCCCTGCTCCTTGTCCCATGGTGCCCCCATTGGCTGCAGTGTGGCTGTGGTTCCTGCAGGCCAATGCCTGGGCGGCCTCTCCTCTCCGTGAGCTCGTGGAGCTCAGACACCCCTCCTGGGCCTGACCAGGTGTCATGCTGCAGATCTGCCACCTGGCTTCTTGGTGGCATTTACAAGAGTCCCTGCATTGAGTCTCAAGACTAAACCTGGCTCCCCAAACCCACATGACACGTGTGGCCCAGAGTGAGTGTGTCCTGCACATCTACTGCCCGAACATGACTTAGTGACTTTGGGCTGAAACAGTCTTGGAAGTATCCTGAGGCTGTGAAACATTTCTAGTGTTATGTAAAGACTTGCTTGTGGCTTTTCCTGCAAGTACCTGTAGCAGCTTAATACCACATGATTCACTGTCGAGGTGAATGTGATATGATGATCATTATTTTTATCATTGTTACATTTTATTGCCTTTGGAGCTGAAGGAAGGGGAAGGGGTTTTTTTGTTTTTCCATTTTTTTCCCCATTGTCTTTTCTTTTTGGTGGCTCAAACCATACTTACGCCATGACAAATTCTGCTCCTTGGCCGAGTATTCCAGGCCTTGTTTTAGGCTCACATATCAGATCTGCATGCATTGCTTGCGTTTTCCTGGTATCAGAATGTTGGTTCCTTGATCTCAGGAATCCAACGTGAATCTCCAAAATTACGGGACTTGTGACAACACAGGACATGAATCTGTATAAAATGTATTGGCCTTCCTCATTGGCCTGCTCTAGTATTACTGTGTCGTGTGTGCGTGTGTGTGATGTCTGGCTGCCACGTAAAGCTTCAAAGGAGAACCTTGAAAGCAGACCATCCTTCTCTGCATGCTCTAGTCTAAGTAGAATGTTCAGTGTAACTAACTAAAATTGCATGGTAAAGATACTTAGGTTTTTTGTTTTCTCTCTTTGTTTTAATTTGTTTTCATTTTCTGTATATTGCTTCCTGTGCTGTTTAGTGGTTGTAGGATAAAAATGCACTGGTGAAGCAAACGTAGTGCCGACAGAAGGTGATTTTCCAGTCGTCTGTGTCATGCAGCATTTGGAGGGACTGTGCATCCTTTAAACAATCACAGTGACTTCTAAACCAGATTTCATTTCTGTTATTGTTTCACGTGCCAAACCCCGAAGTGCATTTGGCTTGACTCTGAACACTGTTGGACCCTTTTAGAGACTGTTTTGATTGTCGCAAATTGTAGTGCCTGAAAACATCCTTAAGCTGATTGATTGTCTTAACAAAAATGAAAGTTCTCCAAAGACAAAACAGGAACAACTATTATAACGGAAAATAATAATGGTCGAAATGTCTGTGGTTCCTTGGAAATGCTGCGCTTTTTGTATTTTCCATCAGCAGTTTGAATGAATGTGTATAGTTCAGAGGTCTTCGTGTTCGCATTTTAAAATTAGGTAAATGACCTCATCTTTCAAGCTTGAATTCATTTTTAATTTTAATTTTATTTTATACAATGTGTAGACAGTTTCCTGTTCTCTGCATTTAGAAGTATAAACAATATAAATCTGTTAATTCTGTAAGTAATTTTTATAATTATGATGTAACCCTGTCCTATCCTTAAAACATTTAAAATAAACCCTTTATGTGCAACTTTTGGCTGTACATTTTGTGCTCATGAGCAAAATGTGATGTGTTAAACCTGCTTGAAAAGTTTTTAAAGTTTGAGTTTGACTTTAAGCAACCTTTTTTCCCTCTTTTTCACATGTAAATATCAGATATACAGAAAAACAGAAAGAATTAGGGTTTTTATTTGAATGGTAATACAGAGTAATACCTGAAAAGTGAGGGGATGATAATCAGTATCCCAGATATATAGTCCAGAATATTAATGTTTGTGATTTGATATTGAGAGACATTCATTTATCATAAAATTTTACACTTAAAAGAATTTTTAAATTAAATTAAAAATTATTTTATACTTCCACATCTATTCTTGATTTGTATACTGCTTATAATTATACTTGTGTATTTCTTTTATTAATACTTAAGTACTAGTCAGTGAGAGTGTAGTGAAAAATCTCCATTTCTCTGTGGTAAGGACTAAGAAATGTAGGTAATACTGTGATCTCTATGTGCTCTCTTATGTTTTATCATCCTTGGTGAGATACTCAGGTAGAAAGTAGAGTTTATGATGCTTCTTTAATAGATTAACTTTTTAGTGTTTCCATGTTGGGTTTGGCCCAGTGTCCTCTGCTTAAGGCTAGGACAGGACCAGGTCCCTTTCCTGCTTGCCGGAGGGGCCGAGGGAGCCTTGTCTTGGATACCCAGGGGGACGCAGGGGTGACTCAGGCTCAGGTTGCAGGGGTACAGACAGCTGTGGAGGAGGTACAGGTCGGGGCACATGTGCTCACTGAGGCTTCATCTTAGTCTCTTTCCTGATGGTTAGTCAGTTGTGTGTTGAAAGTACAGCTCAGGAAATGTTTCCCTCAAAAGCAACAAAGCAGGTTTAGTATTGAGTGGGCCCTCGTGAGCAGTCCTCCATGCCCATTGGGCCCCTTGGTACTGTCACAGCTCTGCGACATAGCAGCCCCGCGGGTCGGGGAGCACTGGCAGACTCCAGTCAAGCACCCCCACCCAGTGTTTCCTTCGGTTCTTTGTCCTGTGAGGGATGTGCAGCTTCTCCTGCTCTGTGACTGGGGAGATGGGGAGGGCCTCACCCAGGATCCCAGAGGCCCTGAGGCCTGGTCCCTGGTGCTGTGCCCAGATCCCAGCTGCTGTAGGGGCACCTCTGGACCGAATGGCCTCAGAAGTGTGAGTTTGCTCGTCTTGGGTGGCATCCGTGGATGCTTGTGTTATGACCTTACTTTATGAATTGACAACCAAAAGTGTTCTTATTTCCAGATTGCCTTAATAAGAGGTTTTATGCAGTCTCTCTGCAGTAAGAATTAGACCCCAAAGTTTTTTTTCCCCTGCTGAAGAAATTTGTCATCACAAGATTGTAGAAATTATTGTATGTCAGAGACACTTGAAACATGTCATTAACATTATTGTAATACACAGTTATTATCCCCAATTTCTGTAGTATTTGGTTTGTCCTGTATCATACATTGTAAGTTTTAGGGCTGCTGAGTTGAGAATTGGGTTAATTTCCTCTCCAGACATTCTTAGGTCATCTCTGTCTGCCCTTAAATTGGTCGTAAAACTTTGGGTGTCACAGTGGCAGATGGTTTTTGGGTATTGTGTTGGCACATCATTTTGCCTAAAAATGACATGATATTCATTCTGCTTAATTTTTACTGAGGGCAGTGGACCAGGTAGTGCGACTCCCCCCATCACTGGTGATGGGGA